TTGACAGCAGCGGACACACACAGCGCGACTCCGGGTCAGGTAGAGACCGGTCTCAAGTCAGCACCGCTGCAGACTCGCTGTTTGAGGGCTTGATAGCCCACTCCCCCTCCACACCGCTCCACACTCGTAGGCGGACCCTCCGCGTGAACGCACAAACGGAGGGGTAGGGTGTAGGGGGCGGTTTGGGAATGGGCCATCGTCACTGCTCAGAGAAGTGCACTTCTCCCAGACCACGTTGATCAGATTATATTCCTGAACAAAATCTGAAGACAATGTAGATGCAGTTATGTAGAGAGGAGCCTTTCTGTTTAGTGTTTTTGGCTTAAATGTTACTCCTTTGGACTTGAATTATTGGCAGGTACATTTTACATTAAATGTTGTTCTTAGTGACTTGAATTATTGGCTACCTCATATTCTGTGTTCAGCTAAAAATGCTGTAAAAGAATCTGTTCAGAACAGGCCACCTGCTGCACCTTTTTATTCTCCGTTGTCCATTGTGATACTGCACTTTATGTACTTACGTTTCAAAGGCTTGTAAGCTACAGTTGGCACTGTTTCAATAAATGAAACAAATTTTCTCACCACATCTTTTGAGTCATTTTGTCCAGCATTTGCAAGCTGTAGACTCTCTGTCTAGTCAGAGCCATATATTGTATAATTGATGCTTTCAGTTTTCAGTTGAATTAATTCAATCCAAGTCAATGGAACACTCACAAGATGTCACCAAAATCACACTGTCCCTTTAAAATCTTTCAGAAAATGATGTGAGTGTATCGAATTATATCGAATCGTATCGTTGGCTGAATATCGTGATATATATCGTATTGTGAGCTCAATATCGTGTATCGTATCGTATTGTGAGATTAGTGTATCGTTACAGCCCTAGACAGGATGTTAATGTCTTTAGATATACCCTCTTCTTCTTGGCACCAATGTTGTTCATGTCCCATAAATGCATCATCCCCAGAGTTTTTGTCTCTCAGCTGGCAGGTCGCCAGTATTAAAGGGTACATGTGGATCATGAGTCATGGCTGCACCTGTTGCCGTTGTCCTTCCTGACGCCAACATTAGTACGTCTTTGCTGCACCCGGAAGATTGTTGGTATCCTCCTGATCCTTCTTTTTTATATAAATGTTTGCATTATAATTTTTGTCGTTTAGGTTGCATATGTTGTAATTGTATTATCTGTTTTAAGCTATACACACGATAACTATTTTACGTCTTAGCGTCCTCGGAGAGGGATCTCTACTCCGTTGCTCCCCCCGAGGTTTTACAAATATTTCTTTGGGAGTATTTCCTTGTGCACTGCGAGGGTTTAAGGACAGAGTGGTTTTCATATGCTGTACACACTGAAAGGCCCCTGAGACAAATGTGTAACTTGTGAAATGTAAATAAAATATAATTGATTGATAAAATAAAAAACCAATAGAAGCGTATACAGAGATGTGGTCATATTGTATTTCTCAAATCCTTGCTCAACATACTCCAAATGAGATTTACCCCCTAACCCTGTAACCGAAGGACTCTTCAAGTATTTCTTGAGGATGAATAAGATCAGCATATGTATAAAGTCTAATGCTTGAATATACTTGAATACACTAATAGGTAGGAATTGGATAAAAAATTACTTAACACCACTAAAGTAACGGAAATACTGGTGTAGAACTGCACTAATTATCTTTAAAGTGAAGGCCTACATTTCTAAGAGGATAGACAATTTGGTTATTATGAGAACCCAAAACCATTTGTCATTTTGGGGAAATTATGGGGAACATCACTTAGACTAAATATACCACATAGAACAAATAGAAAACATTTCTGACAAGTAACCCCCCCTAGTGTCAAAGATCTGAAAAGTGACATATATGTCACATTGGGTGTTAACGGTAAAGTAATGCTTATTAATATCTTAATTAATGAGGATGATGTTTACATTTGTTTTAACATTCTCTGAACTGAAAAGTATATAATATATTAACTAAATATCCTTGAATCAGTTAAATTAACTGAGCAGATCATAATCATATTTCTAATTGTGACATATGTGTCACTCCAGATTTTCTGAGAAATGTTAAGGTTAATGTCCCGATGTGACATTAATGTCAAAGCGATATTTATCTAATTTGTTTAATATGAATTGGATCAAGAAATGTTTTCACAACAGCTTAAATGAAATAAAGGACATGTTATGTAAGCATTTTAATTCTTAAATGGCTTGAATTTTACCTTTAGCAACAAACAAAAAAAGCTTTTGAAATGTAGCTAGCTCTGTGTTAGCCTGACACATGGACATGTTGTTATGGGAACACAAAATCACATGACCTGGACCATGACGCACCAGACTGTTCAGGGTGTGTCAATTAGGGACTTCATGAGATAAAATAAAGGCTAAAGCTGTAGAAGGAACTTTCCAGAACATTTAAATGTCATGTATCTGTGTCACGGTGGGTTGACCACTTCTTTCCCCTCCATATTACCTCTGTACTGGGGGCGCAGAGCGCGGTTGTTGGGGCAGTCGCGGCCCTGCTTGCTGAAGTTGATGTTGGTGCGGATGCAGCGCTGCAGCAGGGGCTGGGAGGGGCGCGTGTTGTCGCTCATACTCATGAAGATCTTGTAGGGCTCGTTCTGGCTCAGGAGGCGCAGGGAGTGCATCTGGGGAGGAAACGGGTGGAGACTTTTAGGAAATGATCTGGCTTTAGTGCTCTCACAACTTAATGAAATACAGTAAAAATTTATACATTAAATAACTAAAGAAGAAGCCCAAATCAGAAAAGTAGAAAAAAAAAGAGAAACCATCATTTCTACAGTGATGGATAGTAACAAAGTACAGTTAGTACTGTAAAGAACTGTCCTCAAGTACAATGTTGAGGTACTTTACCTGAGTATTCTCAGTTTATGCAACTTTATACTTCTACTCTAATACATTTTAGATGCCAGTATTGTACTTTTTACTCCTGCATTTATTTGACAGATTTGTTACTTGTTACTTTTAGGTTTAATATTATAAGCTAATACAAAATATAAATCAATTATTTTAACTTTGACATATATTTATAGATTAAGATATCCAGTATCAGTATATAATGTTATTGACAAGTGTACAATTAGTGTAGTTCCATTCAACACATGAATACCTGAAAAAATATAACCAACGTCTGTGTAGAAGGAGGGATGAGAGAGAGGGACAGGTAAAAGGAAGAAAAAGGGAGAAAACGAGAAAATTAGCGAGTGGAGCAAATATGATGAAGAAAAAGACCAAATGATGATTGAAAAAAATCCTTTAAGAGAGGGGAAAGAGAAACAGGGAATGAAGAAGAAAGGGAGAGTCAGGGAGAGGGCTGAGATCAAAGTAAATAAGGTGAGAGTAAATGGCAGATGGTGTGTGGGACTTGATTACATTGATGCATGCAGGTCATGTGTAGCACTTTGACAGTTAGCTTCCTGATTTGAAGAGCGAGGATTTGAATCGTATCTATCTTGCTGCTCTTGAGTGTCATAAATAATCTTTCCAGTCACAAATATGGTCCACTTTTTCAGCTGTTTCACTGTGTCTGCACACAGATTTTGACTTTTTCACAACACCTACTAAATCTCTTCCATCCTTACTGCTATCAAAAAGATACAGGTGAGATTTTTCGGAGACGTTGGAGAGTACTTAGAGGCATTTTGATTGTTTTCTGCTCTGTGTATATGCACTGCATTTAATTACACCTCTATTACAACACAGCTTCTTGTATTTCAACCAGTGGGGCCCAGCAAGTTTCCTCAAGGGACCCTTCTTCTATCCATCAAGACCCCTCACCAGCGTACTGTGACATATTTCATGGATATTTCCTATTACATTTAATGCATTGCAACAATTCAAAGCAGAATCTTTCTTGTGGATAGTGCATCAGAGATTGTTTTTCCTGTTATTTTTAGGAATTGTAATTTTAAAACTGACTGTATTATGTATTATTTTGAATTTTTTACAATCCTACATATTTGATAGGCTTATTTCTTCAGTCTTCTTCTCCCTGATGCTATGCCATTGTTCTATTCGCTTGTTGGTTGTTTTTACTGCGTACTGACTCTTCTATTCAAAGTGACTTATAATAGGTGCAATCAACCATGAGCATACAACTTCTGAACAGCAAGAAACATGCACTCAAATTAGCTTCAAATAATATAAATATAATAAGACAAACCAGTTTAAGTGCTACATAAAGAGATGAGAATTAAAACAAAGTTTATGTCACGATCTGTCTGTGTTGTGTTTTGTCTTGTTTAGATCTGTCTTTGGTTTTCTATCTGCGTTTGGGTCCTGCTTGCTTCACTCACCAGAACAGAACCAACCAACCAAGATGGACCCAGCAGATGATCCATTTGAGGTGGAACTACATACATTTACCTATTCTTTGGCTTTCTGCTATGGTAGGTGGAGGGGAGCGTCCAGTATTGAGCAGAAAGAGGCTGCTCAGGCAGAGGCGCACCAGATAGCAAAAGAGAAACCATGTCTTGTGAAATTCTTACCTGGCTGGATGATGGATATCCTCCCGACATTTGTTTCCCTGCCTCCCAATTCCAAACCTGAGACCATACGTCTCGGCGTGTTCCGTCTGGAGTCAACCTCTGCTTCTTCCCCAGTTCCTGCTCCTGTCCAGGAGTCGTTCTCTGGAACTCGTCTGGCTTTTGGAGGTCCATGGAGCCTCCAAAAGGCTCCTAAGAGAAGGAGCCGCAAGGACAGACTAGCAGCCCGAGCCCCAAGAGTCATGGTTCCGGCCCCAGTTCTGGCCCCAGCAGCCACGGATCCGGCCCCAACAGCCATGGTTCCGGCCCCAGTTCTGGCCACAGCAGCCATGGTTCCGGCCCCAGTTCTGGCCCCAGCAGCCATGGTTCCGGCCCCCGTTCTGGCCCCAGCAGCCATGGTTCCAGCCTCAGTCCTGGTCCCAGCAGCCATGGTTCCGGCCCTGGTTCCGGCCCCAGCAGCCATAGTCCCTCCTCTATTCCCTTCCCAATACCCTTCTCTAGTCCCTTCTCTAGCCCCTCCTCTAGTCCCAACTCAAGTCCCTTCTCTAGCCCCTTCTCTAGTCCCTACTCAATTCCCTTCTCAAGTCCCCTCTCTAGTCCCTCCTCTAGTCCCTCCCCTAGTCCCTTCCCAAGTCCCTTCTCTAGTCCCTTCTCTAGTCACTTCCCTAGTCCCTTCTCTAGTCCCCTCTCAAGTCCCTACTCAAGTCCCTCCTGAAGTGCCGTTGGAAGTTCCGCTGGGGGTCCTGCCAACTCCATGTCCTGTCCCGTTGAGGGTTCCGCCGACTACTCTTCTACCGGGGGTCCTGCCAACCCTGTTTCCTGTCCCGTTGGGGGTTCCGCCGACTACTCTTCTGCCGGGGGTCCTGCCAACTCCATGTCATGTCCCGTTGGGTTCCCGCCGACTGCTCTTCTGGGACACAGGGTCCTGCCCGGCATCCGGAATTGTCCCGTCAGCGCCTTCCTGCCCGTCCTCCGGAGTTGTCCCGTCGCTGCCCTTGAGCCCGGCCCCCTGAGAGCCGCGGTCTTCGCCCTCGAGCCCGGCCCCTGAGTGCCACGGTCTTCGCCCTCGAGCCCGGCCTCCTGAGTGCCGCGGCCTTCGCCCTCATGCTCGGCCCCCTGAGTTCGCCCGCTGTGGTCTTCGCCCCTCCATGGACTCTGCCTTGCCCCCGGGCTGTCCGCCCGAGATCTCCTCCATGTCTCTAAAAAAGCACTAAAAGCCGAATTCAGAGTTATTTTCACCTCATCCGTTTAAATGAGCCTGGATTGGAAATTAGGGGGGTCTATTGGAGGCAGTGCTTAAGGAAAAGGAGAGCACTATAGGCCAAGATCCAGGGATGATCCGGGTATTTTTGTACTTCGGGCCATGTTGTCTTCATGCGCCACGGAGCAACTCTCATAGGAATTTACGCGCCCCCCGCTGTTTCCAGTTCTCTTTATACGTCCATTGTGCAGATGTTTAAGCTGGGAACTATTTAAACAACTTAGATAAATGATTTCTATTACAGGGTATGAAATGAAGTTGAAACTCAAAATGGTATGTGCCCTTGTGCCAACAGGGAAATTAGAGGTCACATTACATGTTCTTTGGCTTAGTCTTCAGCAGCAGCAGCCACGGCTCCAATCAGACCTGTGACCCCCTGACCGTAGTGTCCAATAAAAGCAAAAAGCCCCAAAAATGTAAATAAAAAAAAAACAGTATGCTATTTGTTTTCCCATGCACGTTCTACTCAGGCACCTACCTGCATCTGTGTGACGTAGACAGGCTTGTTGATGAGTATCCAGGTGGAAGTCTCGTAGCAGGGAGGGATGGTGATGGAGCCCTCGTAGGTGATGTAGCGCGTGGTGTCGGGGTAAAGGTCGCCTATGTTCAGGCCCATTAATAAGAACGCATCATCTAAAGAGGGAGAGAGGGGAAGAGTGTTCAGGCTATTCAGTGTGTTGTGTGAAAGTCCGTTATGTTCAGACCATTTAGCAGGAACAAACTGTCAGAGAGAAAAAAAAGAGATTGCGCGTGTGTGTGTGTGTTTTATGTAGAATATTGCACATGGGTATGCATCTCTAATGTTTAGAGCAATTCAAATGAATGATTTGCCTTTTATATTGTAGCAGTAAGTGTGTAATATTAATTAGGAAAAAAAATATGTTCTTTACATGTTACTTATTAGACGCTTTTATCCAAAGCGACTTATCCACACTATCCACATAGCCACAGCATCCCATGTTTATAGTCAACTTTATATAAACTTTAAGGTTAATACCATATTCTTGGTTCAGGTTAGTGTGTACGTCCCCAAAATTAATACAAGCTAATTAATTTGTCATCCTAATTCACAAAAACAAGTTTCTGTGTTTGTCTGTGTGGTTGCCTAACTCTGCTATGTTTAGCCCTATTATTTAAGAAGGAATTCTCTGGAGGGCTGTTTCTTCACAGCAGAGGTTGGAAAACAGATTTTGGCAATGTAACACTGATTTGTATGAAATTTAGAATGCATTCTTGCTAGAGGGAAGCAGCGGGAAACTTGTGTGTGTGTTTGAGTGCTGTTGTGTAACAGTATGTAAAGCAGAGTATTGACTAGATTATATGTAAATTGTAATCCCTGTACATTTTGCTGTATGATGTCCTTTTGTTGTTCTGTTGTTTAGGTTTTTATGTTTACATGTGGAACCTACTGCTGCAGGTCTCCCTTGAAAAAGAGATAATTGATCTCAATGGGATTTTACCTGGATAAATAAAGGTTTTGAATTGAATTGAATTGAATTGGGAATGTACAAGAGAAAGAAGAGATTAGCGTGTTTTAGACTTCAAAAGTTTTTTGAGATGCTAGCTGCGGGGCTCCAGTGATGTAAATAACTTTCTGTCATTCATTCAGTCGGTCCATCACTTTGGTACAAACTTGAATATCTATTTTGGATGGACATCATGCAATTTTAAACACAGATGTTTAAGGTCTTGGATGATAAAATCAAAAGGACAGCATGGATCCCCTTACTCTACCTTGCGCCACCATGCAATTGACATGTGTTATTTTGTTTGAAATACCTCATCAATGATAAGTTTAACTGCTGTGACACCAGGTTCAGAAACTCATTTTGAATTAATAACTTTGACAATCCCCTAACATTTCATTTAACGTCATCATTGATTTAAATGTAAATGTCATTTCATAACCCCATCCCTGAGGAACTAATGACATTCCCTTTTGGCTTAGCTACGCTTTGATAATTACTATCAAGTGTGAGAATGTTAGCATGCTAAACGTGCTGGAATTTAAATACATGTAGCATTTAGCCCACTCTTGGGGCCTTTTTTTTCTTAGGCTTTGCACTGAGAACAGATTATTGTTTCTGATGCAAAGTCAATCTTTTTTTGATAAACAAAATACTTGTAGCAAATGCACATAGTACTGCATAAACAAGCATAATAATATTCGAGCCAGTCGATGTGTTTTTCATATATATATCCTTAATTTAAACATGTAACAGTCTCATTGAGATTATAATCTCTTTCTCAAGAGCGACCTGGTCAAGAGGGCAGCATGAACAAAGTTACAACAAATGAACACAAAACAATACAGGTAGGACAATACAGCGGTCGTAAAACACAAATGAAATGGCACATTAACCAGTCAATTATGGGAGAAAAGAGCAATCACATCGACCAATGGTTTATTGTTCTTTAAGATGGACTTAAATTCCCCCATAGTGATTTGAATACATGAAACCGCTGGTTTTTTTCATGATGAAAACAGAGAAAATTAGTTATTTTCCATAAAATACATACAGTATCTGGGGACTGACTCTTTTTTTTATAACAGTCTTGGATATGTCAAAGATTAGCAACAAAATTCATTTTTTTGCATTATTAGTTTTTGCACAAAATCAGATTCAACAAAAAACTCACACATTAGTCATTCGGGACAAAAATGTCCACTTCCAAAAATTGCTATAAAACGATAACAGATTAATATTTTTTTAAATGTTTGGGGTTAAATCTTTCAATCAACTTCAGTCCTGGTCAAAAATACCAAATGTTAAATTATGTTCAGGATTTTAATCCTTTAACTGCCAGTTTGAAAACATGAATTTGACGTTTATGAAAAACATGCACAAAAAGGCAGTTATTTTCCATAAAATAAATGTTGGGGGGGTCGGCTTTTTTTTATCACAGTCTTGGATATGTCAAAGATTAGCAACAACATTTATTTTTGGTGGATTATTAGTTTTTGCACAGAATCAGATTAAACAAAAAACTCACACATTAGCCACTCGCGGACAAAAATGTCCCATCCACTCCCATTATAACCACATCTTTTGATGTCTCCGCCATACCGGTATATAATCATGCATTTTGTAATGTCAGGGTTTTATATTGGAGGAAAATAGTTCAATGTCTCCTTTTTACTGTATATGAGCAGATGTGACATTTTACCATTGAATTACATGCTTGTCATTTCTTGGTTTCTGGGCCTGTTGTATAATGGGGCCCTGACAGCCATTGGAATACATATAAGCAACTAATATGATGTAGGTGTGTTGGTATGGATGTGGAAGAGTGGTATCAGCTGAGAAATGTGTGTGTGTGTGTCTGGATGTACAGTGTGTGTGTACAGAGACAACAATATACAGTAGATTTGGTTTACAGCAAGTCACAGCTTTCGCCTCATATCTTTCCTTCTTTCTCTCTCTATTTTTCTCTCACTCCCTCATTCCCAAACTCATACACACTCTTACATATTAAACCTCCTTATATCTTGTATGTGTGTGAGTGATTGTGTGTGAGAATGAGACAGGACTAAGTGTGCTCTCATGGCGTTTTGTTTTTCATTTGTGCTGTTTCATGTGTCTTAGAGGTAAACAGATGTATGA